AAGCTTGAGAACTACTATCCCCATGTGCAAACGGGAAATTTCAGAAGTCCCCAGCAGCAGACACTAGAACTAGTGTGCCCTGCATGACCAGCCTTTTGAGTGGTAGAGCTTTAACTGATTGCCATAAGCTCCAGAGTTATCATCCCAGTCTGTGGATCAAAGATGGCTTGCTTTGACAATCCTAGATCCACCACGTACCTAGTAGCTGAGAAAGTGAGTATCAACTACATGGTTCAAGGAAGATCATCATAATCGTTAAAGATGTCTCAGTGATATTTGTTGCAAAGACTATCTTTCTTGTACCAGCTGATGCTGCCTCGAATACCAGTTGCTGATCCTCTTGACGAAGCCTTCCATGAAACAAGCGCGCATGGCATATCCGTCTGGGATGTGAAAAAAAGCTATATCTCCATCCTCAACGTCCCTATGGAGCTCACAAACTCTTTCCATTGTCCTTGTTACATGGTTGTCGATGTTGGCATTCCTGCGCAGATCTCAACTGGGTACTTCCTTCCAGGAACGACAAGTGTTCGATGCAAAAGTAGTCGCTGAAAAGTTCTGCATTGGCTGTAGCTGGCATGATGATGAGTCTCAAGTCCGACCATGCACGCATACATTCCTTCAGTACTGCTAGGAGTAAATCGATGCTCAGGCTTCGCTCGTGTGCTTCATCCACCACAATGCAGCTGAACCAGTTGAGATTTCTAGTCGAGAGATAAAGTTGAAGCAGTACGTGATCCATGGTGTAGACCATTTTGGCAAGGTCCTGTTGATCCCTGTATAACAAGGTGCCAATGGAATTTATCTTCTCGTAACAGCCGTGGCATTCTTTGGCAACCCGTCGAGTAAGAGCAAAAGCTGCTACTTTCCTTGGCTGTGTACAAAGGATGGACTTGAGAAACAACCATCACATAAATATTGAACGAGTTGAGTGCTCTTCCCAGACTAATCAACACAGTAACCTATAGATTAATGCAAAGAAACTAGATGATAAAAACTTCTGGAGGTTCAGGCCAGAAATCATGCGGGGACGATCGCTTCCACCTAAAACCCTGGGAGAAAAACGTTTGAGCGGGAACACGCCAAAAACAGTAACCTTTATAGCTCTCTAGTGTCACCCCGATGGTTTAATCTCCAAGGTCTAGATGCCTTTCCACTCCTATCTATTTTTACTTTATTTTCATTCATTCATTCGTATACTGTTTAGCAGAGAAGCATACTCAAACTCATCCAGTTCTCCTTTGCTCTTCAATTCTTCAATCAATGCTTCATCTGCAGCTGCATACCGGTTATACCCTGGAGGCATTTCTTCCTTGGATTTGTATAACTCGAAGCCTAGGCCTGCGTTGAGAAATCCATCGAGTCCCTGAAAAGCTTCCCAGATTTGAGATGCAAGAGGGCGGGGTGGCTCAGGCACAATGAAGATTCCCAAGGCTGGATGTTTTTTGCAGATCCGTTTGAGGTTTTCGTATTCAATCCGTTGGACGCAGAAACGAGGATGGTATTGCGGGAAGTCTGCTACCTGAACGATATAACCCACCTGAAAACGTACACAAATAAACATACAAAGAAACAGAGAATAGAAACTGATACAAACTCCAAGATGAATTCTCTTCATTGGTCCAGTGTAAGTCCTCTCTGCCCAGTCCTCATTTCGCAGGGGATCTCTTGAACAGTGATAAGTATCGTGTCCCTTCGCTAGGCAGAGGTAGCATTTCTTTTGTTCATGAGCAAAAGGATCCACTCCAGGCTAAAACAAAAAAAAAACAAAAAACAAAGAGTCAAAAATTCAATAAGTGAGCTTTCTTACCCCCTTGCAGTGTCTTTCCCAATGACCTCTCTGCTTACATCTTCTGCATTGGTCGACGAGTAATCCCTCCTTCTCACCGGGACGATGAGTTCCTATGATCTCGTACCTGTTACAAACAAAAGCAAGTAAACATCAAACCATATAACCTTGCTTACCTTGCTTGCATACGATCGTAATCGTCCTCGATTGCAAAAATGTCCACCTCCTTCGGCTTTTCCTTTGTGAACTTCCTGTTGCTGCTGCCGCCGTCGTAAGCCTTCTTGTGCTGCCCGTTGCTGCTGTTGCCGTCATAAGCCTTCTTGTACTGCCCGTTGCTGTAAGCCTTCATTTTCGGAAAGAAAATGTCCAGAACCAACAGGGAGCTATAAGAGTCCGTTCTTGTCCTGCGGTATTGAAAACCAGCTTTAATTCATCATGTGTATCGAGGATCCCTTACCTGGACAATACTATCAAAGATAGCCTTGAGGAGAGCTTTGGAACGCGATGTAGGTACCAGATCGGCAAGAATTCCTGTAGCAGCCTGCTGCATTGAAAAGATACGATGGAAGACCGTATCACGGAGGGCCTTGAGGAGCGATGTAGCTCCGTGCAACACGATCACAGGCGACGGCAATCGGAGACGAGATTCTGGCGATTACTCACTCTTAGCTAATGTGGACCGCCAAACCCTAAACTTTATACCAAGTATATTTTTAAGTATCGACAGTGTAAAATCAAACGAACGGCCACTGCTGTTCCCGCTGCTGTGGAACGAAAACTAGTTAAGTCAGTTATATGTTATTCTTATAAAGGTGGTGGATGTCTAATGTTACTGGCTTGCTCTAGAGCGTATGCTATCTCGATAAGAACACCCTCGGAGCCTTTGTTTCCCAGGAAGCAAATCCCAAATGGAAAACCGGTGGGAGGAGCGTAGCCTGCGGGGATCGAAATGGCAGGATATCCGGCGATGGCTGCTGTGAGCGAGATTGCCGACACCGCAGTTGGAGCCACCAGCGCGTGGAGATCGTGCGTCTGGAGCAAGTAATCGATCCCATTCTCCGTGAGGAACTTGTTCCTTGCGAGAGCATCTTTGTATGCTTGCGACTGTTGATCCTCTTGCCGAGCTTGAGCTTCGATGAATACATCTTGGCCAAAACGATCTAGTTTCTGCACAGTTTTGTGTAAATTTTAGAGTTTTTTCAGCGGTTCCTACCTCGTCTGTGTGTTCCTCGTTGAATCTAATCACGTCCTCGAGGCTGCGAACTTTGCTTGTGGTGAGCTCGGACAGATACTTCTGAAGATCATGCTTGAAATCGATTTGTAGCACCAGATCCTCGTTCTTTGTGCTCACGATCTCTTCAGCGTTAGGCAGCTCCAGATCCTTGACAATCACTGCTCCTCTAGCTCTGTCCCAAAGAAAGAAAAGAAAAAAAGAGCAAAGATTTCAAAGCATGAACGAGGATACTTAAAACCCAGTCACTCACATTGCCAGAGAAAAGAGTTTCTCCATATCACCAGAAATCTCGTCGATGACAAAGTATTTTCCAGCAAGCACGCCCAGCCTCTTCCCGCGAAGACCATCCCTTTTCAGAAACTGCTTGTATCCTCCTCTGGGAATGTATGCAGCCGCGGCAGTAGTAGCACTGTCGAGATCATCTACACCAACGATCACGTCAAGAACTTCGACCGCATCTTTCATGGTTCTGCAAATCGGCCTGCGATAATCCAAGCGTTAAAAGCTGTAAGCTTTCGTGATCATAACTTCTTGATTACCCGACTGAGTCCATATTATGCGAGAGCGGGATCACTCCCGCTCGGCTCGTGAGTCCAACCGTGGGCTTGATCCCGACGACTGCAGCAAAACTGGCCGGGTTGATTATCGATCCATCGGTCTCCGTCCCGAGAGTGACTGTAGCCATGTTTGCAGAAACTCCGACTGCGGAGCCGCTGCTGGAACCGAAAGTTGTTTGGACTGGATCATATGGATTCTGTTTTCAACAACAATCGCAAGATCAGAAATGAAAAAAAGAATCAGCTTATACATACCATGGTTTGTCCACCACGGGGACTCCACCCATGCGGAGCTTCTGTAGATCTGAAATACATCCACTCGCTAAGGTTGGCTTTGCCGAAGATGATCGCACCGGCGTCACGTAACTTCTTCACAACGCCAGCGTCTCTTGGAACAATGGAATCGACCAGAGCCAGAGATCCAGCCGTGGTCTGGAGCTTGTCCTTCGTGGCGATATTGTCCTTGAGAAGAATTGGAATGCCGCGCAAGCCTACGACAGAACAGAAAAAAAACACACAGAAAAATATCACAAAATTATATAAACTGAAATGCAAACCTTTGCAACTCTCGGCTCCGTGTTGTTTCCTGTAAGTATCGGCTTCATTGGCGAGCTCCAATGCGTCGGGAGACACCTCGATCACGGCTTTGAGCTGGGGATTCAGCCGCGTGATCCGAGCAATGTAAAACTCCACCAGCTGTTTTGATGTTAGAGTTCCTGCTTTCAGTGCTTCTTGAATGTCTTCCACAGTGGCTTCTTCGATTGGGAATTGTGGAGTTGGAACAATACCGTCGGGCTCAAAGCTTCCAACCATTGTAAGCAGCACACGATCTTCACCATCTTTTCCTTGGATCTTTTGCAAGTCACACTTGAAGTCACCTTCTAGCATGCTGTACATTTGCGGAAGCCATCAAATATCAATCACACACTTCTTTGAAGCGAGCACTTACACTCTGGTCCCAAACTCCTCCTGGATAATGGCCCTCAAAGTTTCAGCATAATGCACAATAACCTCTCGAAACCTTCGGAAAAACAGAGATAAGAAACAGAAAGGAAAATGTTTTCGGAAGTGAAAACCATGTACCTGTAGATTGTTGGGTCTTGAATGATCCCAGGAGCCAGTGAGCGAAATGGGATGACTTCCATGGCCCGAATGAGCTCGTCAGAGAGTGTAGGAACCGCCATTTGCAAACGCTGGGCTTGCGCTCTACAAAGCGGTGCCTGGCGGTGAAACAATTGAGCAGCATATAAATTCGTGACACCCATCTCTTGGGCAATCTGGTTGAAGCTCTTCCCTGCATTTTGCTTGGCTTCCAGAAGCTGCAGCACAAGCTCCTCTTTTCTCACATCTGTAGCCATAGCCCCTAAGTATTGAGTGTCTAGGGCTCGTCAAGTTATCCAGGGAGTAGTATATAAGATAGTTTAGGACAAATACCCTGGTTAAAAACTTTAATCATAAAAGGCTAAATTACAAACTACTAAATTAATAAAGGGTAAAGGACTTATGTCTTGAAAAATGACAGACAGAGCTTAATCCTCAGCTTCGGTAAACTGAGCTTCTATGTAGATCGACTCAGTGTTCTCTTCTCCTTTCTCAATCATGGAAACCTTAAATTGAGCTAAATGCTCATCACCTGCAGCAAAACAGTATATGCATAAGATAAAAATTACTATTTAGTATCATCATGTACCAAATGTGATTGAGCTGCCTGGGGGAACCGGAGTGACAGCTCCAGGTCTCACTCTCCTGTTATTAACGAAGGTCCCGTTGGTACTGTCTAAATCAGTTACCATAAGCATCGAATCTCTCTTCTCAAGCCGGGCATGTAATCCAGAAACTAAAACAAAATTGAGACGAAGAAATTACACAATATGAGAAACAATTACCTGTTCCAACTGGAATTACAATGTCTGCCTTGTCAGCCACACGTCCCACCGTGGCAGCATCCTATTAGCAAGATCAAACTCTAGATTATCAATCTAAAGTAGACCTCATCAAATAAAAAAAGTAGAGAGGTCATGGTTTTTAACTTACAGTAGAGAGCTCAAATGCACTTGGCAGAGGAACTTCTTCGCCTATGTGGCGGCAATCACCATCTCCTACACCCATTAAAATCTCATCAAAGAAAAGAAGAAGAAAGTCATGAGAAACACTGCTATTCTTCACACCTATGGGCTCGAGAAGCCATTTCGTGTCCACAGCAGCGGCAGCCAAAAGCCTCGCAAAACTGGAGCTTCGTTGCCAAATCCGCGTTTCCCTAGAATGTGTTTGCACCAAATTTACATTCAATCCAATCGCTCCACCTCCACAGTGATTCCAAAGCGCGCGCGAGGAAGGCCACGACGAGGGCGCCACTGGCGGCCACGCCCGTGCATTTAGCTGCTGCATCAAAGCCGGCATTGTTCCAATCTACAGATTTTCACCTTATCTTCAGGCATCAAATACACGCCTACATGGCAAAACACGTGGCAGATATAGAATCCGAGCGTCGACCGGAGGTTATCACTGAGCTGTGGAGGTCACAAAGCGGCTCATAAGCTGTCCTCTGTAGAGGGCTCCCGTTTTCCTGCTTAGATGCGAGCAAACTTAAGAAGCCATAGAACTAAAGTTTAAGATTATAGTCTGAACGTTGCGACAGCATTTATGTCTATGTTGGTCACTCTCTGGTGAAAGTAGAGATCTGTTAGTATGAGAAGCACATAGCTTGATGTGCAGGAAAACAAAGCGTCAAATCAAATCACAGTAAGAACTAGCTAGACCGGAGATCCTGACCGGGAAGAATTCGCAGGTACAACAGCAAACACACGAAATCCTGCTTTCAGGGCGTCCCTGTAGATAGGAGCTAGTGGGAATATAAAAACTCACTTGCTGGTGAGTTCAGATAATTGTTCGACTCTTTTCCAAAGACTCTGACGTCTCCACTTCTCCTCAGAGGCCATTACGAGAGCAGCTACAAAGAGAACGAACTACAAAATTTAAGTTCTTATCGTGTACGCAGCGATCGACCTCCAGATTGCATTTGTCTGAGCCAGAGATTATCAGGAGCCCGGCCAGCTCCTGGTGGGATGAGGATTGTGCCTGCACGCACAAAAGATATGCCTATGCCCGTTGGCAGAAAGCCCAGCCACTAGAAGTGGCTCAGTTGAGAAAAGCCTTTCAGCGTACAAGCGCCACAATCCCAAATAGGCATATAGGATATTCAAAAAGCCCACCTGCAAGACAAAAAGATTTGGGAGCATCAACAAACCAAATCTGGAAAACTTCCCTGGAACAAGAATCTAGACTTCATCCCGCTGGAGTCGGGATGACAGCAATGGGTGTCAGATGCCCTCACACCAATCATCAATCGCCTCTGGAACACAGGCCTGGACAGTTAACAGAGTCGTGCCCATACACAAAAGGGGAGATGTAATGCTGCTGACCAACTATTGAACCGTTGCAGTCTCCAGCATCTTCACGAAAATCTTTGTGAAACAAGTTGGAAAAAAGTATCAGCATGGGCTGAGGAAAATCAGATCCTGCAAGAGGACAAGCAAGCTTCCGTACGCGTAACATCACGATCACGTGTTAATGGAACACACCAGACTGGGGTGGAGCAAGGTGCTCATCTTAGGCTTTGTAGATTTTGCTCAGTCATTTGACTTGGTCCCGCAAAACTTCGGAATTGATCAGCTCCTCCAATTGGAGGCACCCACTCCACTTGTTGCGGTGATTGTGGAGTTGTACAGGATAGTGAAACTCTAGATGTTTGCAGGGGATACAGTCCCTTCAACTATGGGAGTTTGACAAGGCTGTCCCTTGTCACCAACCCTCTTCTTAATCTAAATTGGCGCACTAGAGACAATGATCCAGGGAGAGAATTTCACAATATACCAACTTTCTGGGATGTATCTCTTTCTGCTATGCTGATGACTTCTTTTTAGCGGCACTAAATATCACAACCATACAACACTTGTTTGACACACTTGCACATTTTTGCATGCAAGCGGGCACTCTCCAAAACACAGATTATGATCTTTGGCAATCCCCCACTCACACATGTCTCTACAATGGCAAACCAGTGCGAGCATACAAATACCTTGGCTACACTTTACATCGCCAGGGACCTGGACACATGGGGTCAAAGAGAGTGAAAGCCGCACAATTTGTCTATTATAGTCTCTAATTGGATTGCACAATAATGTTGTGACTAGCTAGAAGGCAAAACGAGCATTCTATTTTGCCAAGGTTTGAGCCATATGGGATACCTCAACATCCAATTCATCAACCACGAGTTCCAGGTGTGGCTGCAATCTTGGTCCGAGAAAGTGGTTTACTGCCACTAGAGATCTTGGCATCGAAGAGGACCATTGTTCTTGTGAAAGCCTCTGGAAGAGATCGTTGGCCTCTCAAGCAATGGAAGATTCCATCAGCCTCATGTATAAGTGAGTTGGTGGCTGGTGGCACAAGTTAAAGGCATGGACCGAATCTCTGGTTTGGATCTAGAACTGATTGTTTCCGATCCATTTGACGATTATCCAGTATGGATGAACCAGGCCATACAACATTGGTTAGCATGTATAACTGAGGGCACCACAAAATATGCCATATACTGGGTGACACTTGGATCTCCCTGTGGCTCCATGGATATGCACAATCCTTGCTACCTACAGCTGTGGAGCACACGGTTTACAAGTGGAGTTTCGATGACACACTAGGCCACATATCTCTTGAGAGCACTGTCTATGCCAGCAATGTGACCCTGGTCAGGTGGAGGTGTTCTCTATCAATGCCTAACATCTACAGGACCAGACACCCCTCCCCTGGCAGCAGTGGGATCAAGCATCCATACTTAGTGATGGCCATTTGCAGCAAATCACATGGTACCTCCAGGACCAGACAACCAAGACTAAAGAGACTAAAGGGAAGGAGCAATGCATTGCATTCATGTAGATAGAGTCCTATATTTTCTAGTTGGGCAAAAGTACACTATAAACAATTCTATATATTGCTACTGCCGCTGTAAGCCTTCTTGTGGTGCCCATTGCTGCTGCTGCTGCCATAAGCCAAGGACATGTCCAAAATAAGGTCTTAAGCTTTTTAAGAATCCCTTACCATAGACCAAGCCTTGAGTATACCATATCGACAATAGCTTCCACGAGCTTTAATCGTTTGTAATGCACAAGATGAATTCAAGACTTTGGCAAACACAAACACAAAAAAGTCTCATGATCTGTGATGCAACAGACTGGAGATTTATTCGCTGGCATGCCCAAACACACCAACAGCCGTTTGTAGAGTTCTGAGATTGGGAACAGTAATTTCAAGGAGGAAACTAGCAAGAATTGCAAATAAGTGGAGAAACTAGTAGCCTGGGCAAAATGAATGCCTCAATCAAGCAGTGGATCTGATGTATGTTGTGTTGTGGAATATGCATATTGATCCAATAGCTTATGTTTCAAACATTTATGTCTTTATTAGACATATATAACATCCCAAACAGATCTTGTTTGGGATCTCATTTAGACATCATGTATGTCCTAGCTAATTGATGTCACACAATAATTTGTTGTGGATATGAATAGCATCATAATTATGTGAGCACATATAATGGCAAGACATTCAGGATAGGAGAGTACCATTGACACAATAACACCCCAAAAATATTTGGAGCAGAAGATGATGTACTAAAAATTGAACTTCCAACCTTGATAAAATGTGCTATGATAGAGAAAGGGAGTGCAATGAGGATCAAAGAAGAATAGATCTGAGCAATAGATTTGATAAAAATTAAAGTCAATCTAAAGTACCAAGACAAATAAAATTTACCGGTTTACCCATTTCCTCTATTGCTATATGTGATATACAAGTGGATCAATCAGCATATGCAAGATTATCATAAATAGTCCGCCTAATTAATTAAAACATAAGATTGAACATTCAAGTAAAATAATAGATGAATTATTCTTTTAAAATAAAATATACTAGTATTTAGAATATAAAATAAAATAATATATTCTTTTAGAATGTTTAGATATTTTTTATGGACAGTTTATAAAAGCTATACAATATTTTGTTTTTGAGATAGGAATTTTATGTGAGAGATTTCTCAAAAACTCATAAACTATGTACTTGCCTAGTGTACTTCAATTTTTCTTTTATTTTATTTTATTTTATGCTGATGAAATTCATTACAGAGAAAAAGATTTACTTGTTTTAAATCAAAATTTTACAGATGTTATTATATTTGCGATACTTCGTCTAATTAATCAAAATATTCCTCTTAATACTCCAATACCCATGGGACAAAGAATGTCTTCTAATCAAACTTATAATAATCCAAATCTTGGCTTTTTAGATTTTAATGTACAAATATGGATGTTTAGTCGAGAAAGAGGGAGAAACTTTAGATGCAGACCAAATTTTGGAGACATTCAAAACAGTGATGATATTAGGCGTGATCTTGCTGATATAATATTACAATATCGTCCTGCTTTTTTGCGTTTAGGATCTAGATTAATAGCATTAACAGTTGGAAATTATGGCATTTATTATTTTGTTAGAAATATTCCTCCTCGACAACTATTTGAAGAAGACTCTAAAATATTTATAATACCTTTTGGCTATAATGATTGTCACATCTATCTTAATACATTAATTGGTAACACTTTATTTAACAAACTATTACCTAAAACATTTTTACAATCCTCAAATCAAAAGGCACATCTCTATTTAAATCATAAATGTGAATTAGTTTTATATGTTGGTCAGGTAAATAAATGGTCAATTCTAAGAAATGGTAATAATTGTTATCTTGTAGTTCAACAGGATGGCAATTTAGTTTTCTATTCTGAAAATAAAATAGCTTTATGGTCACCAAATAAGTATTGTCATATATCTAATAATTGTTTAATGAATACCTACCTTACTTTACAAGATAATTGCATTCTAGCTTTTTATAAGAATATACAAGACTCATTTTCAAGGACTCCAAAAGTTAAATTACTTTGGAAAAGTGAAAATACCATATGTGAGTGACTTATATCATTATAAATATTTTTTTCCAATCTTCCAAACCATATGTCTATTATTTAGGTAAATATTAAATAAATCAAGTACTTAAATTGAAAAAAGTTAAACTCACTAATCAGATACAAGAGATAATAATATTTCTTTAAAATTTTTACTTAATATTAATTTGTTAGATAGAATATTTATCTTTGTTGTTTATTAAAATTAAATCTGATGAATTCTATAAGGTTCACTCCAAAAAATAGTCATATTTATAGCTATCATTAGCTATTCATTTCAATTTAAATAAATAAATACAAATTGTTTAACTATAATACTCTAATATTTAAAATTCTCTTTTAAAATCATTCTTAAATGGGTACAATTGAAATAATTAATAAAATTAATGTCAAATTTTAATATTTAGAAATGTAATCCACTGTGCA